CTTCGGGGAAAAGGGCGGCATATAAATGCAATAAATTCAATTCAATTCAATTCATTTATTTTTATATACACACCCACCATGTTCATATGTAGACACCCATTTATTTGCTTTTGCATACATATCACAAAACCAAAATGCAAACAAGGAAGAGGATGAAGAAGAGAGAGATGCAATAGATTGCAATTTCCTACCCTCTGATACACAAACAGAAGGACAGATACATAGGTGCATATATACAGTGCATACACATACAAACCCAACTTCCTAAATATATTGCTAATCATGCATGCAATCTATTTCAGTGATGAGTGAACATTAAGAAATGCACTTTAAAATGACTGTGCCTCTTACCTACAGCACCCTTATGATGTTTAATGAATGTTCACACTATCATGGAAAATGGCTCATGCTCTCACATCTCAAAAAAGGACACACTTTGCCAAAAATGTCAAATTAGGATTAATTTGCCAAATACTCTACATTAGTTTTTATAGGACTCACATAGCCCCAGCCAAATGTAACCCCCAATTTTGGTAGCAGCAGTGGTGTAATTACTAGAGGCACCTGGATAAAGTCCTTCAAGAATGTGAAAACAAGAAAAACCCAGAAAAGTCACATGTTTAAATGCTATGCTGTGAACAGAACTACATGTTATACACAGTGATTGTCCTTAGTCCATTTATAGTATTGGTATTTTACCATTCCTTCAACAACTGGGAGGAAGAGCAGTTGCAAATCAGATGCATCACTCAGTTTACCTTTCCTTTTCCAAAAATCCTTTCTTGTCAGAATTTTAAATAGTGAGCAGATATCATCTTTAATCTCTGGCTCACAATAATGGTAAGAGTTGGGTGGTGCTTACAGAAGTGGGATGTTGGGTGTGGGTGGGCCAAGAACTGTTTTAATAGCAGTCCAAGTTGGTTGTCTCAAAATCCAGGCAACTCTTTCCTTTCTTCCCGGAGGGGAGTTGTGTTCCACAAAGAAAATGACACAGCTGTGTGATTTGAGGTTCACCAAGAAGCGAACATCAAAATCACATGGCTCTGTGTTGGGATAGTTATGAGAACAAAGCCCATTTTTAAGCCTTCATGAGCCTTACCGTCTCATTAATTAAAAGTGGGCAATGATACCCAATTATGGTCAGTTCCCCAAAATCTGCTTGGTCCTTTAGGGAAAGAAGCATCTGGATTTGGGGTGGGTAAATATGGGTGCATGCCAAACTAAATAAAGACCAGCTATTATGGATCCTAGAGAGACCAAAAAGGGCTGAAAATGAAAGCAGCTTTTCCTTTGTCAAAATGTTTTTTAAAAGCATTGCAAAAATCTTTTTAAAACCCTGATTAGAAAAGCCTTACGAAGAAGCTTTGTATCCCTAAGTATAAAAGCGATAAAAACTTCTCCTTTGTGGAACCAGGCAGTCTAGGCAAGGGATGGGCAGAAATGGATTGGGGCTGTTTTCAAATACTTGGGGACTTCCCAACAATTTGGAATGCAATTCTACTGAGAGCCAGGTTAACACCTGGAACTGGATAACAATCAAGGTTCATATATCATGTAATTGCTCCCAAGTGGCCTTTTGCCGATCCTAGGAAGTCTCTTGGTTTACAGAGAAGATGAAACCATAGAAGAAACACCTTGCCTGCTGGCAGAGGAAGTTCAAAAGTGAATCTGATCAAGGACATGTTTAAGCCTACACCATGGTTATAAGAATGATTATGCATGCTTGCTTCTCCGTTCTTATGCCAACAGTGAGTTACCTTCTAGTGGCATTGTTTAAGGTTGCCTACTCCGTTATTAAGGTTGCCTATTCCCACTGAACAAGAAGAACCACATCTTCCTGGGACCAGTCAATGCAATATTTTGCTGATAAAGTCCCTCAAATTTGCTGTAATCTTGACCTTTTGTGAACACAATCCAATGTGATGCCTTGAACAAAGTCTTGCAATGTTATCTGGGAATCTTTTCAGCCTGTAGACTCTGATGGTGGTACTCTCTATAGCAGTAGCACTTATATACTGCTTCACACTGTTTTATAGCCTTCTCTAAGCTGTTTACAGAGTCAGCCTATTGCCCCCAACAATCTGGGTCCTCATTTTACCCACTTCTGAAAGATGGAAGGCTGAGTCAACCTTGAACCTGGTCATTTAAAGAGAAGGTTTCCACCAGGTAGGAATGGGGTGATAGTGTATCCTCATCAAGAAGCCATCCCTGTAACTGATAATTTTGGGTAACTATCATTAAATCTCCAATTTTTCTGTTTTTCAGGATACTCAAGCAACGGTGTTGTATCAGATACAAAGTACTTATCAAGAAGTGAATTATATAGAACTATTTCAATCTGGATTCATACACAGTGATGTCTTTGATTGCTCTGGGCAATAAGCTTTATTAAGACATGAATGATGAATACATTTCTCCTGGTCCTTGTAGATTCCCAGCAGCTTTTCATATCACTGAGCATGGTATCTTCCTAGGCTACTTGCAAGTGTACTTCGTTGGTTTTATTCTTATGTAAGTAGTAGTACCAGATGGTGGCAATGGGGGAAGAGAGATTGACCTGGTAGATCCTCAGTTGTGAGATTCTCTAGGGTTCAAACCTCTTCCAATTACTGTTTAATGTTTATATGGCACCACTGGGAGAAGTCACCCATCGGTTTGGGTGAAATACCATCAGAATAGCAGTGATACACAGTTCTTTCCCATTCTGAGCCAAGTTGATGATGCCATAGATACCTTGAACTAATGTTGGGAGGCTGTTTGGATCTAGAATTGAACCCAAGTAAGACAAGGTCATTGAAGGGACCTCTACTGGTTCCAACTCCTGAAGCGGTGACACCCTTTCCTTCCATCATTCAGTAGGAACACTAGCTTTAATTGTGTACAAAGTGCTTTTAGTTTTTCTAGTGAGAAACCCTGACCATTCTCTTTTCAGGCATGGCTAAGGTTATCTTCTGAATATAATGAAAACCCATGGCACCTGTTATTTATACATTTAGAAATTAGATGAAATTAGAAATAAAGTCGACTATGAATTCATGCATTGTATTCAGGGAACAAAAAGACCCATTTCCCAAATCTGAAGAAACAGATTGTTAAGCATCATTAAGTGTAAACAACACTTGATTCTCTCATGGCAATTTTTAAAAAAATAAATAAAACCTATTGCCTCTCTTTCAAAAGAAAACTTTAAAGGTGAGTTAGAGAGGAAGAGGAAGACTTAAATTAGAACCAAAAGAGTTATGTAGAAAAGAGTTATGTTTGGTCCAGTTTATAGAAACTGGTGTTACAATTCTGTCTAAGATGGGGGTTTGATCATCAGAAAGATCAGTAGTAATAGCAGGAAGATGAGAGGCGGCAGTTACAAAATGTTGACAAGATTGAGGGTAACTTGACAAGCTGGTTGCAAAGTGCTGGATAAATTGGACCAGACAGTACATCATTGCAAACAAGATATGTTCAACTCTGTGAGTCTTCTATCAAGTAAGACAATGTTTGAAGAACTGTGAATAAGGTGGCAATCTCTGGAGAGCTGAAACTTCTTGTGATGCCTGTAGGACACTAAATGAATGATTTGCTTAAGAAGTTTAAACTTGGTTTTTAAGCACATACAAGAGGCATCTTATAGTCCAGAGGTGAGGAACTATGGTCCTTTTATGACTTGTGGACTTCAATTCCCAGAGTTCCTGAGACAGCATGGCTGGCTTAATCTGGGAGATGAAATCCACAAATCATAAAAGATCCACAGTTCCTCGCTTCTGATATAGGCAATGAAGAACTAAAAGGCAGTAGGACAAAGCACAAAGCTACTGCAAACCATGGATTCCCCTACTGCAGTGTTTTTCAACCTTGGCGACTTTAAGTCCTGTGGACTTCAACTCCCAGAATCCCCCAGCCAGCATAGCTGGCTGGGGAATTCTGGGAGT